TTATAGAGTTTCATTTTGATGTTTCGGATTTTCATTTTCTTTATTTTACGACTAACTTCATGCAACTAACTTGATACAAAATAAATTAATTTGTTTCTATTCGTTGTTACTTTTTATTAATAAGAAGTATATTCTTAGAGTACTGACTGTATTTTGTCATTAATCCAGTATTGTTAAAAAGTAAATACTATTTCACATATAAATATAAATATCATTGTGCTTACAATTAGTAAATTCTTCTAAAGTACTTTAAATTGAACAAAGTTATATTTCTTTGTTACGTATATGTATAACTTATAATAGTTATTTAAAATAGTTATTTAAATAACTTAAAGTACTTTAAATTGAACAAAGTTATATTTTTTTGTAACTGATATTGATAGCAACTAAACTGTAAAAAATGGTTATGGTCGACGCGGGGGCAGATCACCCCTCCTTATCCGGCTGCGGCATTTGGAAAATCCATGCTTCTCACATGGACAGCTGTATGTGGCCTGCTCACCCGTCGGAAAACCTTTTGATTTATTCGTGTACGCACCAGATGGAAAAACAAAAAAATATTGTGTATCCAAAAGCACTTCAATAAACGGAATTAAAACACAAGTACTTTCTTTCCTTTAAGTAGCATTGCAACGCATGCCGGGTAACCGCTAGTATTTAATATATTTCGTTTATCATTTACGTTTAAATTACTAATATCTTGTAACGAATCTGTAGTCATAAAATTTCGAGCTAATTGATATATTAATTGTTTACTACTTTCAAATAATTTGTGAACTAAAATTTTACGAGATTGAAATAAGGCATTGAAGCTATTAAAGAAATGTAAAACGTATTGTAAAAACAAAAAATAAGCTTTAGTTGTATTACTATTTAATTCAGATAAAATATCTTCCGCAGATTTTAATTTGTCTTCAACTACAGCTAAAATAAAAAAATTTTTTAAAACGTCCCAATTATCAAGAATTCGAACAACACACTTATGTAAAATGAGCCATCTAGTATTGGATAATTTTAATAACTTATTCCTTTCCACATTGAAGAATTCTTGGAATTCTCGTAAAATTGCACATCTTTTCGCACTGCCGGAAATGTAAGAGGAAATACTTCTAATTAAATGCTCACAAGATGAAGGCAATTTTTCGCAAGCTTTACTGGCTACAATCGCGGAGGAATGGCAAATACAATTCAACGTTACTAATCGCGGTACTTCTAATTTTAAATGTGACATAAAAGAATTATTGCATCCAATCATAACTGATGCATTATCACTTGCCATTCCGACAATATTTTTGATTGGAATTTGTTTTTCGTCTAAAAGATTTTTAAAAGCTTCAAAAAGTTTAATCGCGGAACAATCTTTGGCATCTAAAGATATTAATTCTAATAATTGTGTTACAACTTTTTTATTTACTGGACAAACATATTTAACAAGAACGCACATTAATTTTGTATCAGAAATATCAGTACTTTCATCGATTAAAATTGAAAATTTACAAGACTTTAAATTATCACTTATTTCTTCAACTTCGCGTTTTGCAACAATATCTTTAACTATATTTGTACATTTAAGTCGGCCTAATGCAACATCTTGTACAACTTTAGGATCTTTGCAAATATCCTTCATTAGTGGAATTAAGTGATCTACGGAGCAAAAAGCAATATTATGTTCAGCAAAAAATACAGATAATTTAATTTCGGCTCGTTTGACTTTATCTTTATGTGTTAAATTTGTTAAATTATTATCGTTATCATTAATCGGATTATTTGAAACTACATTTTCGATATGTTTGACCGTCTGTGAGTGTTTAATTAAATCAGTTTTACAACATCTGATGACCTTATTGCATGCAGTACACATTGCTTTATTTTCTTGATGGTAAGGAGCCAACCATCCTTTAAAAATATTTTCATCTAGCCATGACGATTGAAATTGTCTAATCCTACGTTTCTTAATTGCTCCTTTTTCTGAATTTAAATCCGAATCCATAATAAAAAGCGGCGTCTACAATGAAATTTAAGACTTAAGAAAGATTTAAGAAAATTGATCAATCATAATCGATTATTCTTCTTCCGTGAGATGAATAATCGATTATGATTGAACAACTTTCTTAAATCTTAAGTCTTAAATATTATTGTAGACAACGCTTAAAATAAATAAAGTATACTTACCTTATCTTAACCTAGCCTGTCCCAGTCATCACACATCGGCCCGCCAAAACTTATGCGCCCATTTCTCCTGCACGCTACACCGCTGTTTCTGCTGCGTCATTGACGCGCATGCGCGAAAAACCCGGCCCGACTAACAACACTGCCTCCTTGTCCTCTGCCCACCCGGGCGAAATTCGCGCCGCCGTTGAAGGACGACCACCATCATCCCGCGGGCAAGGAAACGGGGACCGGACCGTCCCCCGGCCGCAGGGGCGCCCGTCGCCACTCTACCCAGGAGCCTTCCTCCGTCGACCCCCGAGCCGGATCTGCCGTGGAGGCTGGGACCTGAACGTCCCCCAGCCGCAAGGGCGCCCGTCGCTCGACACAGGAGCCCTCCTCCGTCGGCCCCCGAGATCTGCGAAGGACGACGTTTGGATCCGGGGGTGTCGTTCTTGCCGTGGAGACTTATCCTGGTGGACCTGCCAGACGAGAGGGTGACAAGGTGGAGGTTGGCGGACTCACGACCTCGGCCGGTCACCACCCAAGTCTCGCGCTCCACGCAGACGGCCGTCGGCTGCGCCCAGTCTCGTTCCTCACCGGCGCCTCTGAGCCCGCTGCCAACAACGCCGCAGAAGCCACGAACGCCAGGTCGACCGCGGAGTCCTTTCCGGAGACAGC